ATAACGTTCTGGTCTGCTCCCAATAGGCCGAGTATTCCGAGACGTCACTGAGCTCAATCTGCGTGTCGCTCGGAGTTCCTGCAATTTTTCAAATTTATTTTGTTTGTTTGGAAATTTTACTCTATATATAATATACGTGTTATTAGAAATTTAGATTTCTTTTCTTATATTGATCAAATAAATGAATTAATCTGACAATGTTGTTTATAGGGTTAAATAAAATAAAAGACACTGTAATTGATTCTATGTAATATAAATGTAAATACTGTAATTGTTCCTGTGAAATAAATCTAAATCTAAACGCATAATATCTAATACCATTTATATGAATATTATATCAATTTATATAGAATCTAAATATCATATAATACAATAACATATATATAAACACTAATACAAATCTGTATAAAATCTAGATATCATCAAATTGTAATAACATCAATATCAGAGACTTTATATAACATATGAAGAAATAATTGTAGATCTGCTTTTCTATGATATGACTGACAATGAGTTTCATATGCAACTAAAGAAAAATTTGACTTGTACTTCTTATGCATTTCTATAAGAACCTCAAGGGGTTCTTGAAAATTATACATTGTAACTAATATAATGAAGTATCGTATGTTATAGATTTTTATTTACTCCAACAATTCCAAATGAAAATTTGTACTGACACTATTTTCACTCATCGTTGTAACTCAATCAAACGCAGTTTCCTCACCAATAAGAGAGGCGACCACAGCACCCATGGATGGTTGACTCGTCATTCCAGACATACTGTCGACAGCAACGTCAACGACGTCCACTCCGCTTTCTGCACAAGCTAGCATCGATGCTACTCCAGCACCCGCGGTATCGTGGGTATGAACATGAATAGGAACGTCAGGGTGCTTCTGCCTGATCGCGTCGATCAACATGTGAACGGCTCTCGGTTTCAAAAGACCTGCCATATCCTTGATCGCCAACACGTGGGTACCAGCCTTCACCAACTCGTCCGCCAAATTCGTGTAATATTTCAGATCGTATTTCTTCTTCTTTGGATCGCTCACATCTCCCGTGTATGAAATCGCTGCCTCGACGATGCCTCCTGCTTCACCAGCTGCCTCCATGCCTGCAATTCCATTTTATTGCTATTACTACGATTATTTTTGGCTTGATCTTGATTAAGAAGAACGTTTAAGAAGAAAATAATTTTCTAGAGCGACAAATCTTTATAATTATTACGTAATATAATTAATTAATTCGTGGCTTTCTTTATAATTATTTATAAATTGTTTAGGGGAAATTAAGATAATTAATTTGGTAAATAATTTCCATCAATTCGTATAATATATAATTTGTCTCACATAATTTCATGAAGTGTCAAGTACTCATTGAATGACATAAATATATCATTCCTTGCTTCAGTTTCAATTTAAGGGATCATTTTTAAGCTCAAATGGAGAAACTTTTTTCTACTGTTAAAGTGAAAAATGTAACAAAAATATTAATCTTTTTATCGAATTCTACCAACCGTTCAAACACTTATAGATGGTAGTGTAAAACGATAAGAATTTTTCAAGTAATGGTGTTTTCTGAAACACTTATCTGGATATAAACCTATTAATTTACTATCTGAAGTATGACCGAAAGAAAAATATGATTATAATTTTGTAAACTTTATTAAAATAAAAATATTTGTAGATACTTTACAGAGGTATGTGCAATGCATAAGTTGCTATAAATACGATAAACAAGATTTCTACTTCTCTTGAAAATTGAGATGCAATCTTTGTCACAGATACGTGACTGAATTCTAAATGGCACTTTTAATGCATAATATGTGACCCATGGTAACAAATATATTAAATCATTCCGTGAATCTCTCACAGTGAATTATTCTTGTAGCCAAGACACATGCACTATTAATAAAATATAAATAATAGACGCACAGAGTTAGTAATCCTGCTGGATTGATTAACTTACAGTGATTCACAAAAGTATTTAAACATCAGAGAATATAGAAAATTTTTGTATGTATTTGGATATTATATAAAATATTTTGAAATTTTATTAATAGTGTGATATGAGGCATGTTTGTCATGGTTAAATTGGTAAAATTTGAAAATTATATTGTATTTGCAATATTCAGCATGAATAACCATTTTTAATGTAATAAGTGTTTAAAAGGTTTAACTTTCTTTATCAAGGTTTATTGACATAATGAATCATGATTTTTAAAATATCATATTTTTATAATAGTATTTTGTCAAAATATATACTTGTATTAAATATCTTACTTCTAGATTTTATTCAAACTTGACCAATACAGTTATGACAATCGTGGCTATAGTGTTAATGGAATGTCAAAAATATTTTGTACAACACACATGATATATTCATAAAAGATTTTTATAATTATTCAAATACTTTCGTGAGCAACTATGTATGTAAAAGCAAACTTGCACAGTCTTCAAACTTCTTCTGAATTCAACTTGTAGAAGTAAAAATATGCGACATATAATTATTTGAGTTTAAAGATGTTCAGAGTTGCAGAGGTTCAATGTATGCCACAATTTTTAAAAATGGGAAATACACGTTTCTCACCAACTTACCAAGTATCAGATTCGGCAGATAGTTCAACGAATCGAACACTCTGAACACGTCCATACCAGTCTGCACAGCCAGTTCGCAGAATTTGTAAACGACATTGTCAGGGTAATTGGTATAGCCAACAGCGTTGGCACCTCTGAGAAGCATCTGGAAAGGAATATTTGGTATCGCCTTCCTCATGTCCTCCAATCGTTCCCAAGGACACTCGTGCAAAAACCTGAGAGCAACGTCGAACGTGGCACCGCCCCAGTTTTCTAGGGAATAAAGATTGCTGAATTTGTGGGCGACGAACGGCGAGATGGTTAGGAGATCGTGCGATCTAACACGAGTCGCTAGGAGAGATTGATGTGCATCTCGGAACGTGGTGTCCATCAGAAGTAATCCTTTGTGCTGTCTGACAGCCTTGGCGAACGCTTCTGGACCTTGCTCCTTGTAAATGTGACGAAAGCCTTTCGGTGGTTCCATTACATCTGAAAAGTTGGGAAGAAATTCGTTGAAATTTACAATAATAGCTTTTCACGTGCGGGATTAGTTTAATGAAAGAAGCGTTAAAGAAGATAAAAGAGAGACCGAGTAAAGTACAGAACAGAACATCTTTTGTAAAATTATATTTATGAAATTATAGACAATGTAACAAGAATTAACTGGATTTTTGTGCAAATTCCTAAAAAAAAAATAAAGAGAAGTTTAGTAAAATACTTTATATACAGAGATAAATATTATAGGTATGTATATTATAAAATTTTTAAATTTAAAATTTCCTATAAATGCGTAAAAGTTCACAGTCTGATTATTAATGACGACACTTCAGTTAAGATATTCCTGATGAAATAAATATTCCTAACACGTGATCTTATTTAAATGAAAACATACGATCTTTAAATCTCTCTCAAGTTATGCTACTTTTATTCATGACTGAATACTGAATAAATTTAAAGATTTTAAAATTAAAATTATACTTCCTTTTACTGCTGTATTATCAAATTATACAATATATTACGAAGAAAGCAATCTTCTCTCTTTGCTGAAAATAGTTCCAATTTGTACAGTGTTACTGGCACTGCAATAAATAGACTGCGGATTTTTGATAATATAATTCGAAAAGTTGGCAAATTATTTTAGCTACCAAACATTATAGAAAGCATTATACTTTAACATATATATTTTATTTACATGTACGAATATTTTGCATTCTAAAAATTTTATACAATTGCAGAAAAATCCACAGTCTTGTAATAAGGTATTATTTTAAATATTTATAATTAGTATTATTTTTATACTTCATTTTTATGACCATATACCAAAAAATTCCACTATCACCCAAAACTACATTGCCAATGTGTACTACACTCTTTTAAATCATCACAACACTTAATTGTCACCCATAAACAAGTAACTAATAATAATACTTATTCACTAAGAATTCAATATTTCACTTCGTTACCTAACGAAAAGCCTTTCGATCGTACAAACCAAACACCAATGCCAATTTCAATTCCAACATTTGTAAATTACAAATTCCAACCATGTGCAACTCGTCTGTAATACAATTGATGTACAATCATGATAATCTATTCGTTCGATTTTGATAAAGAATCGTACTTATTTTCCTAGCTCCAGTTTCGCTCCCTTCCTTATCCAACTAACGACTTAATTAAAATAGGGGAAGAAGAAAAGCATAAGAAGATACGATGATAACACAGTTTAAGGCATACCTGGTGCGTCTGGATCATTGCACTCTTCTGCAGCTGCAAGCTTAGCAAAGTCTAAAAAAAATGGCCAAACGAAAAGATAAAAGCATGCGATAAACAATGAGATGTAATTACAAGAAGATTTATTAATCTCTAAAAAAATAAAATTACTGGACGATAAAGATATAAAAATGTAAGATACAAAAAAAACACTCCCCCTTATAATTTTTTCGAACATCTAACAAATTCAGACAACAAACGTAATAATGATATAGCGGTACAATTATTTTTTAATTAAATTTTACTTTCTAATTCGTTATCCCCGAACTAATTTTGTTCGGAATGACGGGATACTCACATTGAATACATTAATAAATACATTACACATCAAAAATTGTAATTTATTACAAATATGTTTTTTAATTGTCTTTGTTTCTCCAATCTTTCTGAGCTGTTAAATTGCATATTTCGTTGTAAAGTTAATAATTCTGGTAAGACATTTACCGAGATATTACTCAAATTATCGATGTTTGAATAATCGGAATTCTATTGTACTCTAATCATCATATCGTTCATTGTATGATGCAAAAATATACTAATAATGAATTAATAATGATATTAAAATTATAGCCTCCGTAATTGATTTTAATTTCTTAAAAAGAATTAGACGTATTACATTAACTGTACAAAATCCAAAAAGAGATAATTACAAAAACATTGGAATGAAATTCAACGAGAAATTTTGAACTCATCGAAAGGATGCTGAATGAAAATTGAGAGGAATATGTTTATTATTAATTAAATATTATTACTATCTACAATTAATTATTGTTTAATGATAAACGGCACTATTTAATGATTTGAAACTGCTTTTATATTAATTAATACTGAAAGTCTTATTTTATGATACTACATATCTTTCATGGTAATGAAACCCCTGAGAATTAAAAAATAATTATACTTATTGCGTCATTAATACGCATTTTATCTGAATTTCTTACGTCTCCAAAAATTTACAGACGAGAGTGTTCTTACGATAGAATCCCTCATATTATTGCAAATTAATGGACACAAGGGGAGAAAGTTTTAAATCACAAATGTTTCAGTCACATTGTGTGCCGAAAGAAAAAATCTAAAATTACATCGTATAGAAATTAGAACACCATGCCAGAAAAGTATGTTATACGTAGAAATAAAAATAAAGGATTTCACGTGTATAGGTGCTATAGGTGTATCTGTGTGTGTGTGTGTGTGTGTGTGTGTATAGCGTCCCAATTTTGAAATAGCAACATAAAATATTTAATATTTTATGTAGATCCCTTGCGATTGATTTTTAACCCAGGAGAAAAGCATGAAAAAGGATGTCTATACTATTATTGAAAAGGGTGTCTATATTACTACTACAACTTTAGTAACTGTAGTAACTTAATAAAAATTATAAAAATAGATTGACCCTTTCGATGAAATTTACTAATCATGCAATTCTCCGAATTATCGATCTAAAAATCTACGTACATTCAACACACATGATTTTTTCTATCAAAAATTAAAATATTAAAAATTGTTGATTATATGTTATCAATATTGAAATATCTATATAAGTATACACCACGTTAAAAATTATTAACTACATGTTAATAATTGTAGCTAAAATACTATATGTATATATCTACATTTTTATAATACAACTAATAAAATGGAGAATAAAATAGAAAATAAATATAGAATATAGAAACAATTTTTTTAGATGACGTATTTCCTTCGAGAAACTCGAGCTTACATATTTCTTAAGTATATTTGAATTAGGCTAATTAGGTCAGATTAGTCAAGAGTGAATAATCGATAAAAAGTCTACGTAATATAATACGTGAAAAATGTACAATAAAATTATTTTATAAGACTCTTTATGTCCGAGAACTTTTTAAGAAAATCCCGACAAATTTTTCAAAACTTATCAATGTCCATATATGATTCATCGGAAACGAGAAAATTTTATTTTCATTTATAATCCGCAGAATATCCTCATGTCAATTATTCATACATGTTTAATCCTTAAAATTACAAAAATTCTAAAGATTCAATATTAAATGGGCGACATACAATAAATTCAGAATTCATTCATCTTTAAACATGTACCTTCTAATATATTTATTCAATATATTGTAATATTCAATACTGCAACATTATTCTTTTTAAACCTTGAATAAATAAACATTCAAAGGGTTAAGATAAAATTCAAGTATACTGGGCAAGTTTCCCAATCTGTTTTCCTTCCAAACGAAAAGTTAAATAAATATT